AAACTTACCTTCTACTGCAGCCCCAGTAAGTAAAACAGCTGAGGTGAGCAGCAATCCACTCTGCTGTGCCTATCAGCTGGGCTTCAAACAAAGGAAATATAGGTCGGTAGAGCGCAGGGGCAGGCAAGTGGGCCCAGCTGATTGTCCGAACTGGTCTGAACCAGCTGAATCCCAGCCCTGATTAGGGGACTCCAACCCTTGAGCCATGGCCCAGTCCTGTGGCCTGTTGGGAGCCAGTAAGCGAGTAAGCGCATGAAACTCCAATTGCGCAAATGAAGTTGTGCATGCCTGCTGCCTGCGCGAAACCATCCCTTCTCCCACCCCTCCACCACCGCCAGCCGGTCCGCAGAGCCGGAAAGGGACTGTTGATGTATATCAATGATCCATCCCGATGTGGCCACTTGTATCATCTGGGCAGAAGACACCCCCTCCCCCTTCAACAGAATGAGCAAAGGAGGATCTCAAATGCACGGAAAGTAGCGTGCTATATTGTGATGCCAGGCATAGAATACAGGTCGTCCTCGACCTACGACCGTTCGTTTAATGATTGTCCGAAGTTACAACAGCACTCGAAAAAGTGATTTATGACTGGACTCCTCACACTTACCACTGACACACAGGTTATCTCCAAGACCACGGGATCCACATTGGGTGCTTGGTAAACTGGTGTGCATTTACAACAGTTGCAGCCTGCCGAGATCATGTGATTGCTGTTTGTGATCTCCCCAGCTGGCTTCCAGCAAGCAAAATCAATTGGGGGGGAGGGGTGCCAGATTCCATTTAATGAGCGTGTGTTTCACTTAACCACTCCAACGAGGTCATAATATGGGCACAGCTCATTTAAAAGTAGCCTGGCTTAACAATATAGAAATTCTGCTCTCGGTTGTGATCTTAAGTCAAGGACTTCCATACATGCTGCCGTTTAAGGACAGGGCTGGCTGAAGGAAACACACAAACACACACACACACACACACACACACAACCTGGGGCTTCCAGGCTTTGAAACTACTTTGTGACTATCGGCGAAAAAAGCCTGCGTCTCCCTTGCTTGTCCCAGCACACCTGATTCTATAATAAGGCCTAACAAGGAAGAGGCTCCTTCTCCCCGAAGCGTGCCAGCACAGAGCAAGAGATGGAAATAAGCAAGCTTTGAGCTCCTTGGAGGCCTCCAGCTCTTGTTTGTGCTTTCAGCAAACACTGAGCTCATGGCCTCCAGAGAGAATCAGCTTGCAAGTCCATATTTCTCACACTTTAGGACCCAAAGACAGAAGACTGGTGACAGCCAAGGATTCGTGGACAGTTTGTCAGGCAATCAAACTACATGATACCCCTCGTGGCTAAATGTGGATGCTCACACTGCATCTGACCTCTTACTTGGTGTTCCAGGGACAGCTGATGTGGTTCTTCAGGTCTACACAAAACACAGCATGAATATGATTGCAGGGATCACTTTTTTTACACTGGACTTTTCTCTACTAGGATTGCAAATATTTTGTAATCCAACTATCTTTATGCATGGTTTCCATCAGTGGAAGGGAGAAGAACTCTACTTTGTCCCTACCTAAGCTTGCTTAGAAGAAGGCAAGTGCCTTGCATTTGTCTCTATAGCAGGGGTCTCCAAACTTGACGACTGTAAAACCTGTAGACTTCAATTCCAAGAATTTTGGGAGTTTGAAGTCCACAAGTCTTAAAGTTGCCAAGTTTGGAGAGTCCTGCTCCATTGGATGAATTACAAAGAGCTGCCTCTTAGCCCAAATTATCAGGGAGAAAGAATTAACATCCCAAGGATGCAGAAGAAGCCGTTTCTGTAAATGTAGGCACTACTGATACCACTTAGCAATATTTTTTATGGCTCGGATTGTTGCAATAATAGAAGGAGTAGTAAATGGTTTGCATTGTTTTCCAGTGGGTGGATGAATTTTTGGGGAGAATCAACCAGTTTCCATAGGCAAGCCCTCCGTATTGATTACTTTTCTAATTTTGTATCCAGAGGAAGCCAACTTTATGATTAAGAAGGAGAATGAAAAAAATAGGCATCGCAAATACTTTCTCCCTGCTCCATTAAAACCTCACAAACAAGTTTATGAGGCTTGCTGCTCCTACGCTCACAACAATACTTGGATATATGCTCCTTCTAATTCAGGTGTTTACATCTGAACACATCAATAAATTTTGCAATATTCTACTGGGAGAAATGCAGCCATCAGTGTATAAAGGGAAACATTCTGTAAATAAGATCTACTTTCAAGCTTCAACAGAGTTAAGCAGGTATCCTGAGCAATAAAAAGAGAAAGATGCGTTTGATGCTGTTTGATTATTTCCCGGAGGCCCTTGATGCCCTCCAAACTAACTCATCATCAGTGACAATAAAACTTGAGATTCTCGTTATAATGGATGGCAAACAACAACAGCAATAAAAAAAAACCCAACCCTCATGCCCAGAAGGTGCTTGGAAATGAGCAGCATGGCTGCAGACCAAAGGCATGGATTTAATTGGACCAAGACAGGTGTTAAGGTTTTAAGCAAATAGGGAGATTAATTGAATTATGGAAGGCAGCAATGGCAGCACAAGCAAGAAACTAAGCCACACGGTTAATACCCGGGTGGGGAGGAAGGCATCTGCAAGTTAACTTTTGCCCTCCCTTGCAAATTGGTGCTAGAATGCATTCTTTGTGCCCTGCATTCCAGAGAAGAAAGGCGAAAAATGTAACGGTAAAGGTGCTAATCGTTCCCGACTCTAGGGGGTGGTGCTCATCTCCGTTTCAAAGCCGAAGAGCCAGCGCTGTCCGGAGACGTCTCCGTGGTCGTGTGGCCGGCATGACTCAATGCCAAAGGCGCACGGAACGCTGTTACCTTCCCACCAAAGGTGGCCCCTATTTTTCCACTTGCATTTTTTACGTGCTTTCAAACTGCTAGGTTGGCAGAAGCTGGGACAAGTAACGGGAGCTCACCCCGTTACGTGGCATTAGGGATTCAAACCGCCGAACTGCTGAATTTTGGATTGACAAGCTCAGCATCTTAGCCACTGAGCCACCATGTCCCACGATGGGTAAGGACCTTTTAAAAGAAATGTAGCACAGACATTCTTCTGCTGCATCTCCCAGCCCTGCATAATGTATAGGTGAGCATCTTCTCCAGAAGCTCCTTTCTCTCGCTTCATTTCTGACCCTAAATGACTGATGGGAGGTGCAGCTTAAGACCTTCTGGAAGTCTACTCTACAGCATTCTCATACTTACAGTTCAGAAAGCGGTGGTCCTTATTCTATCCACCGTGAATAAGAGCTTTCTCAGGAAACCATGTTGCCCGTATGAGACTTGCTAAAATGCGGTGTGAAATTAACCTGCAAGGCCCTCTTCAGGACTCAAGTTCTAAATTTACGAAATGTAGAGAGTTTTCCACAATGGACATATGCCATTCTGAAATCTCTTCCATACATTATCGTGCTTCCTTTGGTCCCTCATACTCAGATGTAGCTGGGAATGAATCCTCCCTAGCAACAGCAATAGGACCTAGACTTATATACTGCTCTATAGTGCTTTACAGCAGGGGTCTCCAACTTTGGCCACTTTAAGACTTGTGGACTTCAACTCCCAGAATTCCCAAAACTCCGGGAGTCTTAAATTGGCCAAGGTTGGAGACCCCTTCTTTACAGGACTCTCTGGGTGGTTTAAAACATCAGCATATTGCCTCCAATAATCTGGGTCCTCATTTTACCAACCTCAGAAGGATGGAAGGCTCAGTCAACCTTGAGCCTCATCAGGATCAAACTCCAGACTGTGGGCAGAGTTAGCCTGCAATGGTGCATTCTAATCACTGCACCACCAGGGCCTAGAGAGCTATTTGCAAATAATGTAGCCCATGATGGGCTTGTTCTGGTACTAGATGGACTCACAGTAAGCAACTTCCCGTGAAACTTATCTGAGATGCACTTTCCTTCTTTATCCAGGATCTACCAAATAGGGATACTTACTACGTGTTGCATTCCTCCCTTAAAGTTCTTCCCCCAACTCAAAGCCTCTTTTTTTGTGTTGCAAACCTTGGTCTTCCTCCAAGATTGCTGATATCTCCTGGTGCTTGAGTGATGCGGTTTTGGTTATATGTACAACATTGAGACCCTGGAATTGGAGATAGGAGGAAGGATAAGATCTCCTGTTCTTACTTTTTTTTTTTGCTGGCTTGCTTTCTTCATGACCAACTATGTCAAGAGCAAAAGAGAAAAAGCAAACTGACTGTGGGATCAATGCTAGCTTTGCTGAGTTTTCTAATGTTTGAAAACTGCAATATATATATATATTTTTGTAAATTCCCAAGCAAAAAGATGATTGGCAGGATGGTGCACAAAGCGAAGTGTATGAAGTGTTGTGCTCAGCCCCGGGGCAAGACAAGAAGAAATGCAAAAATGCCTTTTAATAGAAATATAGATACACATTTAAACAGCAGATATGAATGGACAAGAGCTGAGGATTTCTCTCTAATCCAACGAGGAGCGACAAGACATGGAAGTGTCTTTGTAATAAAGACAGGCCATGCTGGCAAGATACTTTTGTATCTCCTCTTCCAAAAAAGATTTTTTTTTTTTTTTTGCCAACAAAACAGTTAAGACCATGATCATCCCATTTCACCCATATTTTCATATCGGTAAGGAAACAGAGAATGCAGAATGCTCAAAATTTGGCTCGCAACAGCAGTGATACAAATATTACATGCACCCTCTCGTTGGTAGCAAGATCAACGGACAAGCTATGCGGTCATCAATCATACAAGTGAGGCTCCCTATATATATATATATATATATATATATATATATATATATATATATATTTGTTTTCGTAAATTTTCACGGGTAGAAGTATGCAAGTTTTGGTGTATTCGGGTCTTTCCCCGTGTAAGATTGAGAGTATCTTGGCGACGTTTCGACAAGGTCTCACTCGTCATCTTCAGGCTGGTGTCTTCGGCTTCGTGCTTGTGCGAGGAAAGTGTGATCGGAGCTGCGGTCTCTCTATAAATACTGGTGGGGAGGTGTGGGATGCTGGCTTTGCTGCTGTGAGCGGGTTGGTTGCCTGTGTTGTTACATTGCCAACACCCCAAAGCCAGCACCCCACACCTCCCCACCAGTATTTATAGAGAGACGGCAGCTCCGATCACGCTTTCCTCGCACAGGCACAAAGCCGAAGACACCAGCCTGGAGATGACGAGTGGGACCTCATCGAAACATCGCCAAGATACTCTCAATCTTACACGGGAAAAGACCCGAATACACCAAACTTGCATATATGTGCATAAACACACACAGCACTGGATTCATTTTGCCTTCCAGGTGGCCAAAAATTGGAGAACCCAATGGGAAACATAAAAGTACCAAGTGGGTAAAAATAAAATAATTGCTTTCCACACACAAAAAAAGAAGAAGCTACAGATGAATGTCTTCTTGAATGGATGAACTGGGAAACCTATAAAATAAAGTAGCCACCAAACAGATGTCAGTGCACACATAAATGACCAGCACGCAGAATTAAGTGGCTAAGCTCATTGAAGATCACCAAGCCCTCATGTCATCTCTCACCAGATTGTCTCTCCTAATGAGATATCCCCGAAAACATGGACACAAGGACTGTGGGACACCAGAACACATTTGAGCACCTTTGAGAAAAGTTCTCTAGTGCGGGTCTCTTGAGTAGGGCCAGGTCATGGTTGAGTAAGATCCATGATTCATGGTCATGTTTCTCCTGCTTGGCATGGAGAATGTTCTGGAATTAATCCCTATTCTTCCTAGGGAAAGCTGGGAAAGCTTTGCCTTCTACCAATCCATACGGATATGACAAAGGGAGAGGGACCTCATGGTCTGACTTAATACGCAGTCCAGGATGAAGGAGAAGAGGGTGAGAAACATGAAGCGGAGAAGATAGAAGGAGAAGACCAGATAGAAACCTGGGATAGGAACCTGCAACTCCTAGTATGTGCCAGCTTCCATGATTAATATGTGTAAGGAAAGAAGGCGCACCTTTAGCATATTCAAAGATTGTGCTTCGTGCCATCAAGGTCCCAGATCAGTATCTGGAGGCTGTGGGAGTTCTGGATGGGGAGGAACAGATTTAGGCTCAACCTTCGTGTGATGAAGTGACTATGGACTTTGAGACTTTTCCATCTCTGCTTCTGTACAGGATGCATGATTTGGGGAACCTCTCAAACTCACAACTCCTGCTTAGAGAGCAGGAGGTAGTAGCCATGGCTCGGGGTTCTTTTGCACGTACATTTGTGCAACAATTGCAACCACATCCTGAATTAGGAGGACCCTAGTCGTGGCCATGTCTTGGCTACCTCCTGTCTGGATTTCTGTAATGCAACCCACATGGTACTGCTTTTGAAGATCGCTTAGAAGCTACAACTGGTCCAGAATGCAGCAGTGGCCACAGTTATGAATGTAGCTAATATTCTCAACTAAGACGCGTCTACTTTGTGAGCTGTATTGGTTGCCAGTGAGCTTCTAGATACAATTGAAGGTGCTGGCTATCGCTTTTAAGCTTTTCATAATAGAGCCTGATTTTTGTGAGATCACCTGTCTCCAATTATTTTGGCATCTCCAGTAAGATTGAACAGAGTTGGCATGCTCCAATTCCCATCACTTATGCAATGACATCTTATGGGTGTCATTGCTTCGCTGTTATTGCACCTGCCCTGTGGAATAGTATTCCCCCAAGATCTGGATGACCCTCCCTACCTTTGGTAAGGCTTTGAAGATCTTTCCTCCCCCCCCCCATGCCCAGGCATTGGGTCAGAAGATCTTCTGGACCGGTCCAGATTGGTTGTGCTTAGTTATTATATTGCCTCTAGTGTAATTTGTTTTGATTGTATGTTGCCTTGAGTCATATGCTGAGAGAATAAATTGACTAAATACATACACCTGATGTGATTTTACCCAGGTAGTTTCCAGGCAGGCAAGCCTCATAGCCTCCTGTCATCCTACGTAAGAGACCAGATACCCTGTAATCAGGGCACACCAGGCGTTGCCATCAACCCCTAAGCTTGACAATATTCCTTTAGAAAGAAGCAGAACAAGGTCCCCAGTCCATACCATGGTGGACAATAGAGGAGGAAGGGCTTCTCCACTGCTCCCACACTAAGCAAAGGGTGCCAGGGTCATAAGAGCTACAAGAGTCAATCTAGCCATGAGGCTGGGCCAGAGAAGAGAAGCTGCCCCCCTCAACGTCTCTTGATTGGTCTCATCTACACGTAAAGCCTTCCCATCGCCAGCCAGCTGAGCCCGTGAGCTGCACAGGTCATGTAGATTGCCTTGGAACTGGATCTTTCGGGACTCTTGCCGAAGGGACTCCCAGATGTTGGCTGCCTCTTCAGGGCAATTGGATAAAACCTTGGTGGCACAGGCGTGGAAGTCATCCCAGGACCTGTAGGAAGAACAGACTCAGTGAGGATTAAGCTCAATGTATGCTGAAGCAATGGAGAACAAAGTGGGAGCATGATTCTATTTGCTTGGGTCAATGGTCACACGACATTCCCTTCTACCTTAGTTTTTTTTTTTTTCCAAGAGCCTGGATAGCTCTGCAGACAAGACACTGTAATTTAACACCAGCTGCCTGCAATTAAAGTAAGTTCGAATCTTGCCAGGCTCAAGGTTGACTCAGCCTTCCATCCTTTCTAAGGTAGGTAAATTGAGGACCCAGTTTGTGGGGGCAATAAGCTGACTTTGTATAAATATACAAAAGTATGAAGGCTATTGCTTAATGCACTGTAAGCCGCCCTGAGTCTCCGGAGAAGGGCGGCATATAAATCAATTTTTTTTAAAAAAAGGGGGGGCTGATGTTAGTAACAGCCTTGGCTACATGGCTACAAGCATCAGAAGGTAGAATAGAATAGAATAGAATTCTTTATTGGCCAAGTGCGATTGGACACAGAAGGAATTTGCCTTAGGTGTATATGCTCTCAGCGCACATAAGGAAAGTAAAATACATTCACCAAGAATAAAAAGATCAACACTTAGTGATAGTCAAGGTTACTAATAAGCTATCAAATCGTACTAGGAAACAAATAAAAACAATATAATTGAAAGATACAAGCAACGTGGTTATAGTAATAAGTGGGAAAAGAGAGATACTAGTAAGGAAGAGAATAATAGTAATACAGTCTTAGTAAATTATTTGATAGTCGTGTGGGAATTAGTTGTTAAGCAGAGTGATGGCATTCGGGGAAAAACTGTCCTTGTGTCTAGCTGTTTTGGTGTGCAGTGCCCTATAGCGTCTTTTTGAGTTTTTTCCTTAGTTTATACCATCTCATCCTTTCCAGTTTGCAATCTACGGTTAATGGCTTTGCAATGTATGAACGTAGCTAGCCAAGGCTTATTCAACAAATAACAAACCTTCACTTGGGCAATATTTTAACCCAATCTTATCATCTGATCTTTAAGAGGTGGATGCGGGTAAACTGAACATTGCAGTTCTGGGACTTAGATGGTCCTGAAGTCCAACCTTTGGAAGGCAGTGTTACCTTCCTTAGACTTATGGGTGACCTTTGGGTTCATAGCTGAGAAAAACAAGGGGTTTGTTTGATCTCTTTCTCAAAACCAGCGTTCCTATTTTTTTTAAAGTTCTGCGCTGAAATATCAGACTTGGGAAAGCTGGAGTCAGCAATACCAACTCAGATGGATGGATAGCTCAAGGAATCTTCTTGCAAGCTTTTGAGACAGCTCCATAATAACTTTACCGCTGATGGGTACCTGAAATGGCGAACCTGCACTCACCGACAGATGGTGTTCAACTCCTCTTGATCCTGGATGGTGTCATCTTCCATGTCCTTCTGAACATTTTGAGCCATGCTGTCTCCAAGGCTAACCAGACACTCTGCAAAACCCTTATAGATGGTGTTGCACTTCCAGCCAGCCGCATTCACGGGCTGCCCCACTAGCACTGCAACAAAGTGGAAGTTGAGATATTCAGACTGGGTTATCTTCAATAGCTTTTCCCAACTCGCAGCGTGATAGATATGTAGGACTATAATTCCCATAATTTCTGGGAAGCATGCAGGATGGGGTGATGGAATCATAGTTAAACTTTCCTGGAATGTGTTTTAGAGCAGGGGTCTCCAACCTTGGCAACTTTGAGCCTGGAGGGCTTCAATTCCCAGAATTCTGGGAGTTGAAGTCCACCAGGCTTAAGGTTGCCAAGGTTGGAGAGCTCTGTCTTAGAGGATAGCATTCATCAAATAGGAGCCCTGGTAGCGCAGCAGACTAAAGCACTGTTATTAACATCAGCTGCCTGCAATTACTGCAAGTTCAAATCTCACCAGGCTCAAGGTTGACTCAGCCTTCCATCCTTTCAAAGGTAGGTAAAATGAGGACCCAGATTGTGGGGGCAATAAGCTGACTTTGTATAAATATACAAAAGAATGAAGGCTATTGCTTAACGCATTGTAAGCCACCCTGAGTCTCCGGAGAAGGGCGGCATATAAATCAAACCAAAAAAAAAAAAATAGCCAGCAGAGCAGTGCTTGCAATTATAGGCCAGAGTGGCAAGTTGAAAACTTACAGACAAAACATCTCATAAAATTAAAATATGTATTTCTGTATAGCTTCAAAAGCTATTGCTATTCAAGAATTCTAAAGTATCCTGAAGCACTCTCATCTTTCTCTAAATCTCAGCACTGGAGATAAATTTAGGCTGGCACAGAGCTCTGTATTTTTAACTAAGTTAATACAACAGTGAGGAATCATCACCTAGAGGTGAAGCACGTACTTCATGTAGAAAGGGTACCCGTTTCACCCCTGGCATTTTTCCATTGAAAGGTTTAGGCATTGGATAATGGAAACGATTATCCCAAAAATTATAAGGCAATTTTCTGTATTTCCTGAAGAGCATTTGTAAAAGGGGCAATCCACTCCTGGTGAGATAAGCTGTATTAGGGGCCAGAAAAGAAGCAGTTAACTGTATGTTCTGGGTTTCTTTAGTTTAAATATTTGCATATGGAGCCAGGTTTGATATCTGAACAACTGAGAATAGCACCCTGAGACTGTTTGATATGGCTGCTTATTTAATGGCGTGTAAAATGTAGGAAGCTGGTTTTGACACATGGAGAACCAGCTTGGTGTAGGAATTTAAGGTTCTAGGCTAGAAATCAGGAGATCGTGAGTTTTAGTCCCGCCAGAGGTAGAAAGCCAGCTAAGTTACTTTGGGCCAGTCACTCCCTCTCAGTCCTCCAAAGCAGGCAATGGCAAGCCACTTCTGAGAAGTTGCCAAGAAAACTGGCAAGGACTAGTTCAGTCAGTCATCAGAAGTCAAAATTAACTCAAAAGGCATTAAAAAAAATGTTTGATGGATAAAACCCTTAGAGGCTCAGCTGGATAGAAGCTAGATAGAAGCAAGCATTCAGCAGGACTTCTGTTATCCAAGACACTAAAAGCTAGAACGCAAGAAGGTGATTTTAAAAGACAAAGGAAAGTAGGACTTCAGAACCCTGGACAGCTCCTAGAAATCTCTGCAGAAGGCTGCCTTTGAGCTTAATACCAAGGACAACTTTTCAACAAGAAAGGAATCTGAATTCTCGGAACAAGAATTCTGAATTCACACATCGTACGAAGCCTGATATTCAAATGATCAAAACTGGGTCTGCGCAATGCCCTAATCACAATATGGTTTAACTTTATGTGGAGATTTAACCGATGTAGGTTATTCAACATTTTGGGCTGCATTCGTTTGTTTTGTTACTTTGAACCTGTCCCATCTCTGAAGTGCACCTCAACAAACTATAGGAGCCCTCAGAGAGGGGTGGGGAAAGGAAAGCACCCATTTTCAGGCTAGAAAGACAAAGGATTTGCCTGTACATAAAGCAGCAGGTGGCACGCAGAGTCATATCAGTGGGCACGCGAACGTTGCCCTAGCTCAGCTCCAGCATGCATGCAGCGCCAGCCAGCTAATTTTCAGGCCTTCCGGACCCACCGGAAGGGAAAACAGGCTGTTTTCAGCCTCCGGAGGCCTCCAGGTGTGGGTGGGGAAGGCCGTTTTCACCGTCCCCAGCCTCCTAGAAAGCCACTGGAGCCTGGGGAGGGTGAAAAATGGGCCTTTCCGTCCCACTGGAAGTCAGGAAATGGGCCATTTCCCACCTCCAGAGGGCCTCTGGGGGGTGGGGAAGACGGTTTTCACCCTCCCCAGGCTCCAAGAAAGCCTCTGGAGCCTGGGGAGGGTGAAAAATGGGCCTTCCGGTCCCACTGGAAGTCGGGAAATGGGCCATTTCCCACCTCCAGAGAGCCTCTCGGGGGGTGGGGAAGACGGTTTTCACCCTCCCCAGGCTCCAAGAAAGCCTCTGGAGCCTGGGGAGGGCGAAAAACTGGCCTACCGGGCCCACCGGGCCCACCATGCCATCACATGACAAAAGCAGGAAATCACCATTTCTATTAATTAGCTATTCAACCCTGTGCTAGTTTGTACCTAAAAGTGACAAGCCAAACAACAAACCAAATAATAATCAAAATTGGGACAAAATTGGGACCAAACATGTATTTTTTAAAAATAAATAAATAAATAAATATACATGTACTATAGGTGAATTTACACCAGATTATTACGTTTGATCTTGCAAGCTTGGAGGTAGAGCGCACACGTTACCGTCTTTGATGTGAAATTTGGAAATTCAAAATGCAGACCAACTGTCATTTGGATACATTTCTCACCAGAGAAAAGGTTTTATCGGGACCGTATGGTAGCAATCTTTCCCCCAAGAAGGCCCTTTCCCACAGGTTGTGTAACAAACCCATCCTAATCACTGGCAATGCAAGTGTTTTCATTGGATCATTTGGAAGACAGCAGGTTGGAGAAAACTGGAGAGAAAAGCATGGCATTTTGTATTCCGATCCCTAGATGATGCCGATCACCGAGCTCATGTCTTATTTAAATTGGTAGAATTTAAATACACAGAGACACACACACGCACAACTCTGGTTCCACCAATAGCATCAGATAAGGAGCATTAGGATTAATTATGCTAATTCTATCATCAAATCATAGGGCAAGGCAACGTCAGACTTTTTACTCCAATGCAGGCTTTTTCAAACCATTAGGATTTTTAGCAACTCATCTGATATTAAACAAGCAAGGATGAGTTTGCCCCAACAATCAAGAACAGGAAGGAAATTACAATTCCATAAGGGCTTCCCAAAAGACGGCTTGATCAGGATTCTAAAAGAGCTCATTTGTTTTTTTTTTCCTTTTCTTAACAGATTTTTAATAAGACAAAGAAAAAAAATAAGGGACGTTTCCACATAGGAAAACAACACAGTTTGGGTGTTCCTTCCCATCTTTTGATTAAAAAAACAACAACAGCAACTGTGAATGGAAGAGGAAATTAAACATTTTCAATCTAACCGATTGTTAATTTTTATCTTAATATTGCCGGTCAACGTTCTGATGATGCTGTTATTATACTTCTAATAATAATTGAAAGACAAAAAAAAAAAAGGAAACAGCTCAACTGATGCCAGAAAACGTAAAGCAGCAGAAGAAGCTTATTAAAAGAGCAGAAAAAGAAAAGAAAAATCTTCTGGGTACCACAGAAGATAATAACATCATGTACCTTGGGATATCTGTGGCCTCCTTACCAAAGTGTAGTTTTTCAGATCTTAGTCTCTTTCCCCTCACCCACTTTATCTGTTCTGCCCCAACTACGTACCCCAAAGAACGCAACACACACAAACTCTATACAAAGCTTATTTTACTGCAACGGTCATAAGTGTGAAAAATGATCCAGAGTCACTTTTTTCGGTGCCGTCGTAACTTTGAACAGTCACTAAATGAACGAGGACTACCTGTATTAGCAGACAAGTAGTTCTATCAATCTCTAATATATTACACAGACCAATTGCCAGTTAGACAGATTTCTCACCCTCAAGAGAAGAGAAAAAAGTTTTATCTGTTATTAACACAGCTGCCTGCAATTTCTGCAGGTTCGAATCTCGCCAGGCTCAAGGTTGACTCAGCCTTCCATCCTTTCTAAGGTAGGTAAATTGAGGACCCAGTTTGTGGGGGCAATAAGCTGACTTTGTATAAATATACAAAAGGATGAAGGCTATTGCTGAGCACATTGTAAGCCACCCTGAGTCTCCGGAGAAGGGCGGCATATAAATCAAATTAAAATAAAATAAAATAAAATAAATTATCTGGAATGCACTATAGCAATTTTTCTCTGACCCATGCAATCCGTTTCCCCAAACAGAACTCAGACCCTGTTTTCAAAAGCAAGAAATTCTCCACTTCCAGGCATCTCTTCCTTCACTGAATTAAGGAATAGCAACCTCTGAACCTAAATCACCTGAGCTGGATAAGAGTCATCCCCAACATCAGCAGGAGGAAAAATTCACAGAATCATTTTTTTTAAGGATCCTGTGGAGGATTGGACCCACTCCTTCCAAATGAAAACGATCACAGAATTATTTTTTAGGATCCTAGGGAGGATTAGATCCACTCCTTCCAAATGAAAACAATCACAGAATTGTTTTTTAGGATCCTAGGGAGGATTAGATCCACTCCTTCCAAATGAAAACAATCACAGAATCATTTTTAGGATCCTGGGGAGGATTGGATCCACTCCTTCCGAATGAAAATGGACAGTCTTTTTCTGAAGTCTGTTAGACATTGTCTAATGCATTTTATTAAAAGGCACCAGCTTTTCTGAGCTGCAGCAAGCTTTTAGCACAAAAACTAATTTGCTTTTAAATTGCATGCGGGGTGGAAAAACAATCTCCTTATCTTGACCATCCCCCAGATATTGAGGGGGTGGGGTGGGGAAGGAGGCGGACTACAACCCACAGAGCATCGGTGGAAAGCATCAAGCAGAATTCTGCCTTCCTTGCTTTGCAAGGGGTAGGAGAAAGCAGAGGAGGGAGGGAGGGATAAGAAAGAAGGAAAGACAGGAGCAGGAGGACATGTTGAAGTTGAAGTTCCTAGTGAAGAGGACGTGTTGAAGTTCCTTCTTCCACTGACAAGCAACATCCTTCAAGCAAGCGAGGGAGAGAGAGAGGAAGGGAGGGAGGGAGGGAGAGGGTGAGAGAAAGAGAGAGAGAGGGAGGGGGGAAGGGGGAGAGAGGGAGGATAGAGAGGGGGAGGGAGGAGGGAGGGAGAGAGAAAGAGAGAGAGAAGGAGGAAGGGAGGGAGAGGGGAGGGAGGGAGAAAGAGAGAGAGAGAGAGAAAGAGAAAGAGAGAGAAGGAGGGAGGAAGAGGGGGAGAGAGGGAGGGATAGAGAGGGGGAGGGAGGGGGAGGGAGAGAGAAAGAGAGAGAGAAGGAGGGAGGGAGAGGGGAGGGAGGGAGAAAGAGAGAGAGAGAGAGAAAGGAGAGGGGGGGAGGGAGGGAGAGATGAGGGTCCAATCCAAGCAGCTTCTAATTTTCAGCAAGAAGAAGAAGAATTTTCAGCTGGTGCCACTGAGACTCAGTTAGGGGGGCGGTTGATCCAGCCCCCACAGCCTGGAGGGCTCCCCCCCCCCCCGATTCAGTTGGGGAAGAAGTTTTGAAAAGTCAGCAGAAGGCTCTCTGGCCTCCTCCTCTTACAGGATCTTCGGAACTGGGAAAATGTTGACTTGCCAAAAAGCGAGGAAAGGTCATTGGAGAGGGAGGGGAACATTCTGCAGCGGCGGAAGGAAGGAAGGAAGGAAGGAAGGAAGGAAGGAAGGAAGGAAAGAAGGAAGGAAAGAAAAAGGAAGGAAGGAAGGAAAATAAAAGAGAGGAAGGAAGGAAGGAAGAAAAAGAGAGAGTGAGAGAGAGGAAGGAAGGAAAAAGGAAGGAAGGAAGGAAGGAAAGAAAAAGGAAGGAAGGAAGAAAAAGAAAGAGAGAGGAAGGAAGGAAGGAAGGAAAGAGAGAGCGAGAGAGAGGAAGGAAGGAAGGAAGGAAGGAAGGAAGGAAGAAAGAAAGAAAGAAAGAAAGAAAGAAAAGAAAAGAAAAGAAAAGAAAAGAAAAGAAACCATGTTGCTCTAACCGTCAGCCTTGCCGACAGTTGCAACTTCCAGCCAAAAAACGCTCCCGAAGCTCTGAGACGGACGGAGAGAGACCCCTTCCCCGGCTCGCTCGCTCGGTCCTCCAGGCGCGCAGAGTTCCAAGCCCCATCATCCACAGGCGGCACTTGCCAGGGGCCTCCAGATCTGGCCCACCGGGGGGGGGCTTCAACCCCCTCGCCGGGGCTCCAGCTCTCCTCCAAGCCCCCGCTCCACACCCCTTTTCCCACCGCCCGCCCACCCGTGTTGGGCTGGGTCGACCGGCAGCCTCCCCCACGCAGCCCGGCCGGGCTCGAACCCCTCAGCCCACCCGAGGCAGGGAAGGAGAAGCTGGTTCCAGCCAAGGCTGCAATTCAAACCGGCTCCGCTCTCGGGCTCATCCCCGCGCCCGCGAAGCCTCCAGCCGGCAAAACAAGCAGGCGTCCCCACGTGCGAGACCCGGTGCGGGCACGGGATGGAGGAAGCCCCGCGGGTTGCGTTGAACCGGGCATCCTTTGCGGCTCTTTAGGACCCTCGCTCGCAAGGCGGACAGGACGGGCAGCTGGGGAAGGAGCCCTTCAAGGGTCCCGGAGCTCTCCTCCCCTCCGGCCGCCCCCCCTCCCTTCGCCTGGAATGCCTTTGCCCTGCGGCTGGAGGGGCTGGACGGCTTCCCTCCGCTTTGCGCGCTGGCTGCTGACCCGCTGAGACAAGATCGCCTCCCGGTCCCGGTCCTTGTTCTTTTCCACTCCCCTCCCCTCCCCTCTCCCAGTCCTTGTCCCCTTCCCCTTCCCGTCCCGTCCCCTGTCCCTGTCCCTGTCCCGGTCCTTGTCTCCTTCTCCTTCTCCTTCCCCTCCCCTCCCCTCCCCGTCCCAGCCCTTGTCCCCTTCCCCTCTCCTCTCCTCCCCTACCCTGTCCTGGTCCTTGTCCCCTTCCTCTCCCCTCCCCTCCCCTGGTCCTTGTCCTCTTCCCCTCCCCCCCCTCCCCTGTCCCTGTCCTGGTCCTTGTCCCCTTTCCCTTCTCCTCCCCCCCCCCCCTCCCTCCCCTCCCCGTCCCAGTCCTTGTTCCCTTCCCCTTCCTGGTCCCGATCCAGGTCCCTTCCCGTCCCGTCCCCTGTCCCTGTCCCGGTCCTTGTCCCCTTCCCCTCCCCTCCCCTGGTCCTTGTCCCCTTCCCCTCCCCTCCCCTGGTCCTTGTCCCCTTCCCCTCCCCTCCCCCTCCCCTCCCCTCCCCTCCCGTCCCAGTCCTTGTTCCCTCCCCTTCCTGGTCCTAGTCCTTGCCCCCTTCCCGTCCCTCCCGTCCCGGTCCTTGTCCTCTTCCCTCTCCCCAGTCCCGTCCAGGTCCCCTTCCCCTCCCTCCCCGGTCCTTGTCCCCTTCCCCTCCCCTCCCCGGTCCTTGTCCCCTTCCCCTCCCCTCCCCGGTCCTTGTCCCCTTCCCCTCCCCTCCCCGGTCCTTGTCCCCTTCCCCCCCCCTCCCCGGTCCTTGTCCCCTTCCCCTCCCCTCCCCGTCCTTGTCCCCTTCCCCTCCCCTCCCCGGTCCTTGTCCCCTTCCCCTCCCCTCCCCCGTCCTTGTCCCCTTCCCCTCCCCTCCCCAGTCCCAGTCCTTGTCCCCCTTCCCCTCCCCAGTCCCGGTCCTTGTCCCTTTCCCCTCCCCTCCCCAGTCCCAGTCCTTGTCCCCTTCTCCTCCCCAGTCCCGGTCCTTGTCCCCTTCCCCTCCCCTCCCCGTCCTTGTCCCCTTCCCCTCCCCTCCCCAGTCCCAGTCCTTGTCCCTTCCCCCTCCCCAGTCCCGGTCCTTGTCCCCTTCCCCTCCCCTCCCAGTCCCAGTCCTTGTCCCCTTCCCCTCCCCAGTCCCGGTCCTTGTCCCCTTCCCCTCCCCTCCCCAGTCCCAGTCCTTGTCCCCTCTCCTCCCCAGTCCCGGTCCTTGTCCCCTTCCCCTCCCCTCCCCGGTCCTTGTCCCCTTCCCCTCCTCCCCAGTCCCAGTCCTTGTCCCCTTCCCCTCCCCTCCCCTCGCCGTCCCAGCCCTTGTCCCCTTCCTTTCCTGTCCCGGTCCTTGTCCCCTTTCCCTCTCCTCCCCCTCCCCTCCCTCCCCGTCCCAGTCCTTGTCCCCTTCCCCTTCCTGGTCCCGATCCAGGTCCGGTCCTCGTCCCCTCTGCTCCCCCTCCCCCTTCCCGGTCCGGGTCGTTGCCCCCTTCCCCTTCCCCTTCCCCCATCCGCGGGATTGAGACGCACCCAGCTGCAAGGCGAGCAGCAGCGCCCAGGCTCCCAGCGACGCCCCGCAGCCCATGGTGCCTCCGCCGCCGCCCGCTCTGGAGGGAATCGGGCTGCAGAAACGCCGAGCGGTGGCTCCGGGCGGCCGCTCCGCCCCGCCCCCGGCTCCGCCCCGCCCCGCCGCTGAGACTCCGCCCCTTTCGCCTTTGGGGAAGTTGGGCGCCCCCCACGTGGGAGCCCCTGCTGGTGGGGTCGGAGAAGGGGCTGAGCGCCTAAATTGGGGTCTCCAGCTGCGGGTGGGTGAGACTGAATAAGTTTTTTTGGGGGGGGGTATGAACTGCAGGAAGCCAATACAAGTACAGGTAGTCCTCGACTTACAACAGTCCATATAGTGACCGTTCAAAATTACAAGTGACTTATGACCAGCACCCTTGCAGCATCCCCAGGCTCATGTGATCAAAACTCAAGAGGCCGGGCAGCTGCTTCATACTTATGACCATTGTTTGTGTCCCAAGGTCACATGATCCCCTTTTGGTAACCTTCTGACAAACGAAGTCAATGGGGAAGCCCGATTCACTTAACAACCGGATTACTAATTTATCCACTGCAGTGGTTCACTTAACAACGGTGGCAAGAAATCTTGTAAAACGGGGCAAAATTCACTTTTTTTTTCTTTTGGCTTTAATTTATATGCCGCCCTTCTGCGTTAAGCAATAGCCTTCATACTTTTGTATATTTTTATACAAAGTCAGCTTATTGCCCGCACAATCTGGGTCCTCAATTTACCTACCTTTGAAAGGATGGAAGGCTGAGTCAACCTTGAGCCTGGGGAGATTTGAACTTGCAGTAATTGCAGGCAGCAGATGTTAATAACAGTGCTTTAGTCCACTGTACTACAGGCTCTTTCTTAATGAATTCTTACTTAACAGCATAAATGTTGAGGCTCAATTGCGGTCGTAAGTCAAGGACTACATGCAGTCCTTCAATACAAAGTCCTTGACTTACAACCTCAAGTGAGACATTTGCTAGGTGAGTGTTGCCCCATTTTACGACCTTCCTTGCCGCATTTGTTAAGCGAATCACTGCAGCTGTTAAGTTAGGAACACGTTTAAGTCAAACCTGGCTTCCCCGTTGACTCTGCTCGTCAGAAGGTCACAAAAGGTGATCGTGTGATCGCTGGAGCGCCTGCAAGAGGGGAATTTGGAGATACCGGGATACCCTTTGGAAGGCAAAACTAATTCCTTAAAAAACTGAATGGTGAGCGGGGGGGCAGGGAACGGCAAGGAGGATGCGCCAATTGGAAAGGCTCCGCGTTGGGCAACAATGAGTCCTTTCATTGTGCTTGCAAATCTTGCACCCCCAAAGAAAGAGGGACTTCTTGAAGGCTTAGCCCCCCCACCCCCACCCCCATTCTGCTTTTCTCAGAAGAGAGCCCAGCCTTAGAAATGCATTTCAACCCCCCCAGCCTGATAGGAAGCCAGCTGGCAAGGAAACACTGCTCTTCTTTAATCCTTAAAGCGCTCCCGGCATCATCCCAGTTTATCGCTCCAGCAGTAACTCTGCAGGTGGACCTAGAAAAATAGGCATAACCGTGTGGGTCGTCCCCTCCTCCCCCAAATCCCAATCTTAGCAGTATTTGCCAGGATCTCCTCACGGGAGAAGACATGCTAGGAAATCTCCTCAAGCTAGCATATTTTGGCATTCTCACTCTCCCTCCCCTTCCCCCTTCCCAGATGTGTTTGCCTCTGACAAGTACTTAACCTCTTTAGCAGCTGTTTTCATGGGCAGATGAGATCAGAGGGGATTTACAAGGTGCTGTGCAGGACACACACACACACACACCAAGCTTCATCTAATCTGTATACTACTGAAACTCTAGGGTCTGTAACCATTAACCGGGCGAAAAGGTGCATCAGAGGACAAAACTTTTTGAACCGAAATACCCCAAGTGGGCTAACCTACAGAATGCGTCCAAAATCTATGGACCTATGACTCCTGTGGAATGGAAATTTGGCCAATTTTATAAAACATTTGATGACGTCAAATGGATCATGTAGCATTTGATGACATTTATTTATTTATTTAATTTATTTATTTATTTAATTTATTGGTTCAATTTATATGCCGCCCTTCTCCGGAGACTCAGGGCGGCTTACAATGTGTTAAGCAATAGCCTTCATACTTTTGTATATACCTGCTTAGTAGGGCTTTCGCCCCCCCCCCCAGCGGTGTTCTTTTTTATACAAAGTCAGCTTATTGCCCCCACAATCCGGGTCCTCATTTTACCTACCTCGAACGCTGAGTCAACCTTGAGCCTGGTGAGATTTGAACTTGCAGTAATTGCAGGCAGCTGGTGTTACTTAACAGCACTTTAGTCTGCTGCGCCACCAAGGCTCTTATAATACAAAGTATTATAATACAAAGTATAATAAAGCATCTCCCGTAGTCCGCTTTTGATGATTGTTGTGTTATACAACCTCATATGGGCTACTTTCGAGGCAGATATATCTAGAGCATTAGACTAATAGAGTTAAAAGGGACCTTAGAGGTCTTCTAGTCCAACCCTCTGCTCGAGCAGGAGACCCTATGCCATGTCAGACAAATGGTTGTCTCGTCCATCTATGGAGATTCTGTCATCCAGGACATGGTTGTCCCAAAGGTGCTTTTTCAAGAGGCAACTGGACTTTCTGATTTTTCTTTGAAGACATTTCACTTCTCATCTGAAGCTTCCTGGATGAGAAGCGAAACATCTTCAAAGAAAAACCAGAAAGTCCAGTTGCCTCTTGGAAAAGCACTTTTGGGTTGTCTCGTCTCTTTTTGAAAGCCTTCAGTGATGGAGCACCCACATCTTCTGAAGACAAGCTATTCCATTGGTTGATTGCTCTCACCATTAGGAATTTTCTCCTTAATTCTAAGTTGCTTCTCTCCTTGGTTAGTTTCCATCCATTTCTTATCTTGCCTTTTGGTGCTTTGGAAAATCTCTTATCGTCCTGTTTTTTTAAGAACTCTTCAAGTATGTTACAAGTTCTGCCATTGGTGAAGGGATTGAGGAATCTGGTAAGGAAATCTCTCTGAAATGACAACCCACGAGATCATGAGTTGTTAGTCTGATATAAAAAAGTCTTTCCCTGTTGATTTGATAGAAGTCCCTTAAAATCTGGTTGTACCATTAGGCCTGCTGACCCCACAGGACTGATGATCTATTTGAGGTGGCTCCGTTGCTATCAACAATGTTCTCTCTCAGCCTTTTTGTTTTCTAGAAACAACTTTTAATAATCGTAATAGTTTTTTATATATTGGTTTTTAGTCTTCTTGTACACGGCCCAGTCACTTGTCCAGAAAAATTTGATGAGTAAAAAAATAAAACATCCTTTGCGCACTCACAGCCTTTTGCCGAAATGCATCATCTCGGCGCAAGAAATTGTGCTTTTTAAATAATCACTATATTTTCAGGAGTGGGATTTGCCTTATTCCTGGAGTTGAGAGGATTGGTCCAAAAACTGCCCAGCTGGCTTCAAGGCCTAAGGTGGGAGTAGAACTCCTAAGTCGCCTGGCTTCTTGCCCAGTGCCTTTAACTACCTGGGAAACTGACTTTCATGAATTAGATTACAAAATCAAAACACAATCCAGGCGTAGTAGCAGACACTCTTCCATGCCGTTGCCAAATAAAACCCCACCCATGGTCACATCCCTGGAGTTTTGGGAATTGAGTCCATCTCAAAGGTGTTTCAGAGGGTTCCACCCATAAGATCCAACCACCCTGTTCTCACTCCCTCTTCTCTTTCTTGTGCCATATATGTCATCGGACGTTGGCGATTCTATTTTTATGAACGGACACATGAAAAAGGGCTGCTGAGTTTTGTCCAAACCAGTCCCTTCGATTTTGAAGCCATGATGTTCTTCTTCTGCCTGGACCTCGTTTACCTTCAATCTTTCCCTTAAGTGAAGTGAAGGAATTCCCTTAAGGATTAAGTGAAGTACGCTGTATTTTTCCGGGTGTCACATCACGTGTCCAAAATATTCTTTCACTTTTTGATGGTTTTGATTATTTCCTTTGGCTTATACCCAGGCGGCTTATCGCCTCATTTCTGATTTTGTCAACCCAGCTTATACGTAGCAGCCGTCTGTAAATCCATATTTCAAATGCTTCTAGTCCAGTGATGGTGAACCTTTTTGGCACCAAGTGTCGAAAAGGGAGTTCATGCGCAAAAATGGAGGCGCTGCCCAGGGCGTATGCGCACCCCTGAAAATGAACTTCCGGTTTCAGCTCCTGAACTTCCTGGTTTCAGCTAGCTACTCTTCCGGGTTTCTGGCACGCATGTGCACTCAATGAGCAGCTGGTCGGCGTGCATGCTCACGCAGGAAAACGGAAGACCGGCTCTTCTAATTTTGGGCACTGCTGCATGCAAAAAGGCCAGCTGATCATCGCGCACACATGCATGCCAGAAGCCTGGAAGAGGAATGAAAGACACCACGCGTGCCAGGCAACATGGCTCCGCATGCCACTTCGGGCACATGTGCCATAAGTTCGCCATCACAGTTCTAGTCTCTTCAAGTGGATTTCTGTCAGAGACCAACTTTCTACTCCATAGAGCAGGATAGAAAAGACGTTACCACCTGAATCGCTCCCTCAGCCTGTGGTAAATGATCCAAGTTTTTAGTCCCAGGGCTTATTTCAAGAACGCCTTCTATTGTACCCGAGAAGAAGAGTCAAGGAGCTCTTTGGCAAAGCCCACTGCAGTCAAAAAAAGGATAAACAGGAGTCACAAAATGGCACGTCACAGCTGCTTCCTAGAGCCCGGGAATATTAGATGTGGAAATTTCTGCCGAGGGCCAGCAAAAAAAAAAAAAGGCCTGATGCTCGGATGAGATTAACCACCTGTTAAATGGCTTTCCGGTGGCTGGGTGAGGAACAAATGGGGGATAAGGAGGTGTCAAGTGTTGTCTTGGCTGCCAGGGTGACAAATGTCACCCCCATGTTGAGAGGGAGGGCTTGAAAAGGACCAGTGGGGCAGAAGCTGAGGGGAATTTGTTGCGCAGCACCCACTGAGGGGCACCTCAGGAAGGAAAGGGACCGAGGAGGAGGTAAAATGACTCCGGCTTCGAAGACAAGGCAAA